GGAACTTGGTGGGTGTTGGATACCTCCAGGACAGGGGGATCACCGTTACCTTTGTGGGGGGGGGGCGGACTGCAGTCTGTACTGACGCTACCACAGGTGCTGTTCTGGCCACGTTCACCAGGGAGCCCCGCTCCGGTCTCTACGTTCTCCACACCGAGCGCTCCCCGGTCGCGTCCTCCCCTCAGGTTGTTGCGTCCCCTCCGGCTCAGGTCCCCAGTCCAGTTGCTGTGTCTAGCCAGGTAGTCGTGTCCAGTCCGGTCGCTGTGTCCAGTCCAGTCGCTGCGTCTTGCTCCTGTCGCTCTCTCGCCCACCGCACCGTCCTGTGGCACCACCGTCTTGGCCACCCGTCGATCCCTCGCCTTCGTGGCATGCTCAGTCAGGGACTAGTCACAGGTCTCCCACGCACCTTCCCGTCGCTCCCTCTCTCGCTTGCCCCTCCTTGCTCTCCGTGCGTCGCCGGTCGCTTACGCGCCACTCCCCACTCCTCCTCCCTTCGTCCGGCCACCGCTCCCTTCGAGACTCTCCACTTGGACGTCTGGGGCCCTGCCCCGACGCAGGGGTCTGGGAGGGAGCGTTACTTTCTGGTGGTCGTCGACGACTTCTCCAGGTACACCACAGTGTTCCCTCTTGCGAAGAAGTCCGAGGTGACTGCTACGCTGATCAGGTGGCTTCTAGCCACTGAGGGCACTCGTGGTCGTCGAGTCAGTTGTCTTCACTCCGACCGTGGGGGCGAGTTTCGCTCCGGCATTCTCGGCGGATTCTGCGGCGAACAGGGCATCACCCAGTCCTGGACGCTGCCAGAGTCCCCACAGCAGAATGGGGTTGCTGAGCGCCGCATAGGCTTGGTCATGGACATCGCCCGCACGTCCATGATTCATGCCCGTGCGCCCCATTTTCTGTGGCCCCACGCGGTTCGCTACGCCGCACACCAGCTGAACCTCCAGCCGCGTGTCTCGCGGCCCGAGGCTTCACCGACCAGTCTTTGGACTGGATCCCCTGGTGTTGGGTCGGCCTTTCGAGTCTGGGGCTGCCTTGCACTTGTTCGCGACACCTCCGCGGACAAGCTCTCGGCACGCGCCGTCCCATGTGTCTTCCTTGGTTTCCCAGTGGACTCTGCTGACTGGTCCTTTTACCACCCTCCCCTCCACCAGTTCCTAGACTCCCGTGACGTCCGGTTTGACGAGTCCGTGTCCTACTACACCCGGTACCCCTGTCGAGGTCTCCCGGTTCCCCCTCCCCCTCTCTTCCTCGCACCCTCTCCTCCTCCTGCTCCCGCTCCTCCGGTACCCCCGCCCCCCCCAGGTCCTGCCCCGTCTGGTGTGTCCCACGCTACCCCTCTACCCTCGGTCGCGCGTCAGGTAGCGTCTCCCTCCCCGCAGTCCTCCTCACAGTCCCCTCAGCAGCCTTCGGCACTTCCGCGACAGGTTACTTTGGACTCGGTTGGTGTTGGAGCTGGAGGTGCAGCCGCTGGCGGTGCTCGGTCTGGGGGTGCTCGGTCGCGGGGTACTGGAGCTGGAGGTGCTGGCGCACGTGACGCTAGCTCTGGGGGTGCTGGAGCTGGAGGTGCTGGCGCAGGTGGCGCTAGCTCTGGGGGTGCTGGAGCAGGAGGTGCCGGCACTGGAGGTGCTGGTTCTGGGGGTGCTGGAGTTGGGGGTGCTGGCACTGGCGGTGCTAGTTCTGGGGGTGCTGGAGTTGGAGGTCCTGGCACTGGCGGTGCTGGTTCTGGGGGTGCTGAGTCTGAGGGGACTGACGCTGGAAACCCTGGTTCTGCGGAGTCCACTCCGCCTCCCCACCGCCACGACACGCGTCTCCAGGCTGCCCGTCGGCGTGAGCGTGAGGAGCAGGAGCGGTTGGAGAGGGAGCGGCAGGAGCTGCGGGTGCTGGACCTTCTGGAGCAGCAGCGGCAGCAGCAGCAGCAGCAGCAGCAGCAGCCGCAGCCGCCGCCGCAGCCGCAGCAGCAGCAGCCGCAGCCGCAGCAGCAGCGGCCGCAGCCGCCACCGCAGCTTCCTCTGGAGCGGCGGTTGTTCCCACCTGTGAGTGGCCTGCGGGCCCTTGGCCTTTCCTCCTCTCCTCCTGTCCGCTCCCAGTCTCCTCCTGTGTTTGTTCCTCCGTTGCCTCCTCCTGACGACCGTCCGGCGGTCTGGTCTTCTCCTCCTCCCTCTGTCCGTCGCGACCTGATCACTCGTTGTCCTCCGCGTGCTCGTCACTCGTCCCCTGTTACTGACCTCCACACTGCCCTCCTTTGTTCGTCTCGTCGTCGTTCTCCTTCTCCTGTGTCCGTTCTCCCGTCTCCTCCTCCGTCCTCCCTACCAGCCCTCCCCACTCCTATCTCTGACTACTACCGCGTTGTTCGTCCTGTTGCCGCACGTGTCCTCGCCACTCTTGTCACCGACTCTCGTTTCCCTCCGTCGTCTGCCTCGGCTCTTACTGCCGCTGTCGCTGAGTTTGCTGCCGCCAGCCACCTTGACTACGCCACCCGTGTGGTGCCAGCTCCTCCCTACCGTCCTCTGTCCGTCGGGGGTGGGTTTGCCCTTGGCTGTGACGTCCTAGAGGACAGAGAGTCTGAGCTGGAGTACTGGGCAGCCGCTTCTCCCTCTGTGTGTGCCATGCTGCTCTCCCCTGAGGGAGACCCCGACGCCCTTGACATACCGACTCCTCGCACTTACCGCGAGGCAGTGTCAGGGGCGTGGGCCTCTCAGTGGAAAGCGGCTATGGACTCAGAGTTGGCGTCTTGGAGATCCACAGGCACCTACGTCGACGCAGTTCCCCCTCCCAGGGCGAACGTAGTCGATGGCATGTGGCTCTTCAAGGTGAAGCGGCCGCCTGGAGCACCGCCGGTGTTCAAGGCGCGCTACGTGGCTAGGGGCTTCAGTCAGCGTGAGGGAGTTGACTTCTTCCAGACCTTCGCCCCGACCCCGAAGATGACTACTCTTCGGGTGTTACTCCACATAGCAGCGCAGCGAGACTACGAGCTGCACTCCCTCGACTTCTCCACTGCGTTCCTCCAGGGCCGACTACACGAGGAGATCTGGCTGCGCCGTCCTCCTGGCTTCACTGACACCTTCCCACCTGGGACCCAGTGGAGCCTGAGGCGACCAGTCTACGGTCTCCGCCAGTCGCCCCGTGAGTGGCACGACACGCTTCGCTCCACGCTTCGTGACCTTGGGTTCAGCCCGTCCTCCGCCGACCCGTCGCTGTTTGTTCGAGCGGGTTCTACTCCTTTCTTTATCCTTGTCTATGTCGACGACTTGGTGTTTGCTACAGCAGACAGGGCAGCCCTGGCTCAGGTGAAGTCCGAACTGCAGAAGAGACACAAGTGCACTGACCTGGGTGAGCTGCAGCGCTACCTTGGCCTGCAGATCACCCGGGACAGAGCCGCTCGCACCATCACACTGACGCAGTCACACATGGTGCAGCAGATCCTTCGGCGGTTCGACTTCCAGTTCTCCACCACACAGCCCACTCCTCTTGCTGTTGACCACAGACTCACGGGCCCCTTTCCTGACGAGCCCTTTGAGTCCAGTGGACCCTACGCAGAGCTGGTGGGCTGCCTCATGTACCTGATGACTTGTACTCGACCGGACCTCGCCTTTCCACTCAGCATCCTTTCTCGCTTTGTTGCGACTGGGAGACACCGCCCTGTCCACTGGACAGCTGCTGTGAGGGTGGCGAAGTACCTGGCGACTACATCAGGCATGGGGCTTGTGCTTGGAGGGACTCAGCCAGTGGCGTTGACTGGTCACTGCGACTCTTCCTACGCTGACGACGTGGAGACTCAGCGTTCGACTCAGGGTTACTGCTTCAGTCTGGGAGCTGGTGCTGTGTCGTGGAGGTCTACACGGTCGTCGTCTGTGGCTACTTCCAGTGCAGAGGCAGAGATCTACGCTGGTGCCATGGCGGCACAGGAGCTTCGCTGGTTGACCTTCTTGCTCGCCGACCTTGGTGAGCGGCCTCGCTCTGCACCGACCTTGTACGCTGACAACAAGGCCATGATCCTCCTGTGTCGAGAGCCTCGACTGGAGAGCAGAGTGAAGCATATTGACGTGAGGTACTTCCTCCTGCGAGAGTTGCAGCGACGCGGTCAGGCACGTTTGGACTTTGTGGCCTCACAGGCCAACACTGCCGACGTCTTCACCAAGGCCTTGGCGCCTGGTGACCACCACAGGTTCTGTGTGCAGTTGGGGCTTGTTGAGGTAGGCCCTCGGTTGCTGTAGACTTGCTGTTTGCTCTACTTGTTGTGCTTCTATATATACTAGTAAACTCTTGAACTGGCCTTGTGGCCACTTGCTTGTGCTCGGAGTGTGTGGTGACTCTGAGCGCCACCCTGAGCTTTGTTTTTTATGCTTGTTCTTGACTAGTCTTGTGACCCCTTGTTTCCGTTGGTTGTTTTGATGCCCCTCACTTAGCCTATGGGGGTGTGTCAAATGTTTATATATTCTATATATTGTTAGATAGGCTACTGTGAGTTGCCCTCTAAAGGGTACAACACTTTAGGTCGACATTTGTATCTCCTTGTCCCTCCTTACTCAAACGATTACTCTCGACACTTGTCTCCTAGCCTATCTTAAGAGTGCTTGTCTGAATTTTCAGACTAAAAAAATTAGGTAACTCTGACAGCCAGACTAGGAAGAGGGGTGTACTCTGAGGCGTCAGACTACCTCAAAACGAATCTAGGGGCCTGACTGGAACCACCAGACCAGGGCAAGCTAAGGACAGAGGAGGGGGTTTCCTCTGCCCCTTGCTTGCCTCAGCCTGGGGATTCCAATCCCCCTCCCCCCCCTTGCCCTCACAAGCCTTGCCCTGGAAGGCCAACCTCCTTCCCCTGACTTGCTCTCCCCACCACTCCCCACAGCCACTCGCCAGGAGCACCACAGCAGCAGCAGCAGTGAGGCTATGAGCCAGCGCCAAGACCTGAACCCTCACCGACGTAGCAAGAGGGGAGCCCCACCAGACCCCCGGCCGCAGGGCCTGGTGTTCGTCCATTATGCCTTAACGTGCGGCTATTGGAATCCAGGCTTGACACTGACCCACACCCCCACTGCCACCCCACCTCCACCACCACCACCGCCACCACCAACACCAACACCACCACCGCCACCAGAGGGTACCTGTCAGGAGGGAGGGGAGAGAAACAAAGTTAGTTCAGAAATAGAAGCACTGGAGCAGCAAAGGAGGGCAAGAACCAAGAACAACTGAAGCAGAATGAAGCAAAATGAAGCAGAATGAGAAAGCAAGTGAAACTGAATTGAGAAAGCAAGTGCAAAGCGAGAGGCAAATGCAACGGCATGCAAGGGTGAGGTGGGAGGTTGCTGTCTTACCTTGCACAGAGCAGCGAGTCCCTCAATCCGCCAGTGGCAGTGACAGTCCGCGCAGCGGCAGAAGGAGCGTGGAGTGGAGTGGAGCAGACCATGACCAGCAACGCCGGCAGCAGCAGCACAGACGGCAGCGTCACCTCCTCCTCCAGCAGCAGCGACCCTGGTTGCACTCACACCGGCTTCCTCTTCCAGCGGCAGTCCCTGTGAGGAGGAGGGAAGAGCAAAGAAGCTTGTTCACCCACAGTTACAAGCGTTGGAGCAGCAAAGGAGAGCGGAGGGCTGAAGAAGAAATGAGAAAGCAAGTGAAAGGCGAGAGGCAGACAAAACGCTCGTGTGAGGGTGAGGTGGGAGGCTTGCTGGCTTACCTGCCTGACACACTGCAGCTTCTCAGTCCGCCAGTGGGAGTGACAGTCCGCGCAGCAGCTTGGAGTTGAGTGGAGGGCCACGCAGAGGTCCGCCAGTCATGGTGACAGTCCGCTCAGCAGCAGCAGCGTGCAGTGGAGAGCAGAGGACAGCCAAGGCACCTGCTGGGGGAGGAAGGAAGGGGTGAAAAGCACAAGTGACTGGAGGCAATGAAGTGACTTGCAGAGAGGGCGACATGCCAAAGCAAGCACACATGCGTGCGGGAACGAGCTCTGCTGCTGCGCACACCCATGGGGATACCTTTCTGTGGGGGTTATACCCGAAACCTTGCAGTCTGAACCTGTTACCTGGGGAGCCCTGGGGCGTGCTACAGGCAGCTAGAGCGGTGCGAAGTGCATCTAAGTGAGAATTTGCGGAAGCAGCGAAAAGGCGGAGCTCAGAGAGGGAGGAAGTGGAGGTACTCATCTGATCTCTTGCGAGGCGAGTGTGGCAGGCGGTCGGTGCAGCCAAGGAAGCGCGTCCTGCTGCCCGGCAGCTTGCTGCATGCGCGTCCAGAGCATGCGAGTCCAGAGCAACCTGCCAAGGGGGACGGGGGAAGGGGGAGGGGTTGGGAGGGCGGGGGGTGGGAGTGGGAGAGGGGGGTGGGTTAGTGGGACGGCAGGAGAAGGATGGGAGCAGCGAGGGTTGACGTGCGTGGCATGAGTGGAAGCGGAGGGAGTACTGCTGTCCCACACCCAAGGGGGTACCTTCAGTAAAAGAAAACCTGCAGTGGGGGTATACCTGACCTTTCAGTGTGTACCTGAGACCTGGGGGAACCCTTGAGTGTGGTGCAAGCAGGTGGGATGACATGAGGAATGCGTGGGCGAGATAATGATGCATGATGATAAAATCAACGGCAGAGGAGGTTGGGGAGAAGGGTGGCGATACTCATCTTTTCCTGACGTCCGCGAAGGCACCAGGGACGCTCGCGAAGGCACCAGGGACGCTCGCGAAGGCACCAGGGACGATCGCGAAGGCATCAGGGGCGCTCGCGAAGGCACCAGGGGCGCTCGCGAAGGCACCAGGGACGCTCGCGAAGGCACCAGGGACGCTCGCGAAGGCAGCAGACACGGAGACTGAAGGGAATGGGGGAGGGGAAGGTGGGAGTGGGGAGGTGAGTAAGTTAATGTCATTGGAGGGACGGAAGGACAAGCATGGGAGCAGCAAGGGTTGATGTGCGTGGCATGAGCGGAAGCGGAAGGAGAACTGCTGTTGCACACTCAAGGGGGTACCTTCAGTTAAAACCTGGTTGGGGGTATACCTGACCTATCAGTGTGAACCTAAGACCTGGGGGGACCCTTGAGTGTGGTGCGAGCAGGTGGGGTGACATGAATCATGCATGAACGAATGAATGATGGATGATGAGAAATTAAAGCAGAGGAGGTTGATGAGAGGGGTGGCGATACTCATCTGTGAAGGCAGCAATGTCGTCCGCGCAGGCAGCAATGTCGTTCGCGAAGGCACCAATGTCGTTCGCGAAGGCACCAATGTCGTTCGCGAAGGCACCAATGTCGTCCGCGAAGGCACCAATGTCGTCCGCGCAGGCAGCAATGTCGTCCGCGCAGGCAGCAATGTCGTCCGCGCAGGCATCAGGGATGTTCGCGAAGGCAGCAGCAACGTCCGCGCAAGCAGGAGGGAGGTCCGCGCAGCCATCGAAACTGCAGTGAGGGTGGGGGGAAAGGGGTTGAGTTAGCAACAGTGGAGGGAGAGGAGCAAGAGGAGAAGAACGATCCAAGCAGGAGGCGTGAGACAAGCATGCGCGAATGGCCATGACATGAAAGCAGCGCCGGCAGCAGCACACCCAAGGGGGGAACCTTACATTACAATTTACCAGCAAATAACCACACCTGGGCTTAACATTTTTGCACCTGCAAGGGGGGGACCTGCACGTACCTGGACGAACCTGATACCTGGTACCAAGGAGCTGGGTGTGCTGCTGAGCGGGCGAGCAGACATGCGAAGCGAAGGCATGCGAAACGCGCGGGTGGGGAGCAGAGAGCAGAGGCGGGTCGGAGGGATACTTATCTTTCGATGTTGCCTTGACTGCAGCAGATCGGCGTTGACCCGAGCAGAAAGGCGTTGACCCGAGCAGAAAGGCGTTGACCCGAGCAGAGCGGACGTTGACCCGAGCAGCACCAGAGACGTTCAATGGATGCAACTTAGCTCTGCGAAGGAACGGGTGAGGGAGGTCCGAGGGAAGGAAATGAGTGCAAGGGACGAGACAAGCGACAACGGGAATGGAACAAACGAGTGAAAAGAACGAACAACGAAAGCTGCTGTAGCACACCCTAGGAGGGGTACCTTCGAAATTTTGCACCTGCAGTGGGGGGATGTACCTTAAACTCTATACCTGATACTTGGGGAAGGGGTAGGGTGTGCTACAGGCAGCGATGTGAGACTCAAAAAGAGATGACTGGAGTGGAGCGATACTCATCGATAACGTGTGGTGTGGAGCAGCCGGGTCGCGCCAGCACGAGCGTTGACTAAAGCGGAACGACATCCGCGTTGACTGGCGCGCATCCGCGTTGACTGGCGCGCATCCGCGTTGACTGGCGCGCATCCGCGTTGACTGGCGCGCATCCGCGTTGACTGGCGGGCATCCGCGTTGACTGGCATCCGTATTTACTGGAGTAGTGCTAGCGACGCTGGCTGGAGGCACTGCGAATGAACAGGGGAAGGAGGTATACGAGGGAAGGGAGTGAGTGCAAGCGACGACGGGAATAAAACGAAAGCGCGAATGCAACGAACAACGAACGCATCGCTGCTGTAGCACACCCTAGGAGGGGGTGTACCTTAGGCTTTACATACCAAGTCCGAACCGGGCTTAAAAAATTTGTACCTGCAGTGGGGGATGGTGGGAATTATACCTTACAGTCTATACCTGAGACTCGTGGGGGGAAGGGCTAGGGTGTGCTACAGGCAGCTGCAACGACGTAAAAGACGGAGGGACCTTCGAGATACTCATTGTAAGACGCGCTCGGAGCAGCTCAATCGTTAGCGCGCCTTCACGAATGCGCGGTGATCGTGTCGCCGACTGACGCGCCAGCACGCGACGTTGACTGGAGGCAGCGCGACACTGCGAAGGGTACGGGGGAGGGAGGATCGAGGAAAGGGAGTGAGTGCCGTAGACGAGACGAGCGACGACGGTAATGAAACGAGCGAACGAATGAAACGAACCACGACAGCTGCAGTAGCACACCCTAGGCAGAAGGGTACCTTAAAAATTTTGCACCTGCAAGGAGAGAAGGTGGGAACTATACCTTAGATTCTATACCTGAGACCTGGGGGGGGCTAGAGTGTGCTACAGGCAGCAGCAATGACGTGAAATGCAAGAGGAAAAACATTGCTGTGGGAAGGATACTCATCGTTAAACGGGTTCGGATCAGATCGGCCGTTGACGCGCCTTCACGGACGCGCCTTCACGAACGCGCCGGAATCGCGTCGTCGACGGAGAGCCGCGATGGAGGGTCGCGAACTTCACGGAAAGTGGCGATCTTTAACGAAAAGCCGCGATTCCGAAGTAGACTTGGCGCAAAATCTGCACAACCATAAATGCGAACGAAATTAGTCCTCATGTCATTTGAAACAACAAATGAAAGCGAGCCAAAAAAAACGGCAGTAACACGGATACGTACGGGCGAAGCTCCCGCAGGCGCAGGAGAATCGTGGGTCGCGCACGCCGCGAAAACAGTGGACGTGGATCGCGCGCAGCGTAGCACATTGCTCGCACAGCGTCGCACATTGCTCGACGCCTTGGGTCGTGGAAACAGCAAGATGCCGTGAAGGAGAAAGATTGTGCAGCGAACGTGCAGTGTTGCACTGCTGGAAGGCTAGAAGCTAGTGTGCGAGCAAAGAAGGAGCGTCATGGCTGCTGCAGTAGAGGCCGCGGTTGAAGAATAATCGGAGGTCGAAACTAGAAATGATGGCTGCACGATGGAATTAATACGCTAGGCGGTTAGAGCGAGGTGGCGTGAGCGAGGCGAGATCGAGGCGAGACGACAAGTGGAAATGGAGAGAGGGAGCTGAAGGCGTGGTGAGAATGGAGGCGCGTCTAGCGCGGCTGAAAACGAGGGTGGGGTGAGGTGAGCAAGCTGATAGCGGCCTGTCTAACTTAGCAAGCAAAGCAAAGCTATGGACGGTGGAGGGGTTGATTGGGAGGGAGCTCTGAATTCTGCAGCGCCAGGCACTCGCCCTTGGCCCTTAGGGCTCTCTCCAACCAACCCAATTTCCAAGGCCGCCTGCCACCCACCAGCATGGGGAAGCTTGGGGGGGATGAAAACTTTCCAAGGGGTGTGCCTTGGGAAATACATCCCGAGCCCCTGGACGCAACTCAGATGTTTTCCTGAGTATTAGCATTTTTGGGCTTCAAAATTCTGTTTGTTACGTAAGTTTCTCTGGTCCAACGCAGAGTATCCGCTGTGAACAGAACTTTTGGTTTCCTGTCGAAAGTGCATGAATTGCGGGCAGCAGAGGAGAACCCGTCTGAGGGCAGTGTTTCGCATTGGCTTCGCCGCTGGTGTCAGAAACCCTTCCGGCCTCACGATTTGTCGCGAAAATCTTTTGGACGAGAACCCGCGAAGACTCCGACGGTTTAGAAGTATTGACCAATCAGGTGTATTCCGTTAACGGTTAACACGCTAGTGACGTTTGCATGTAACTTCTTCTAGACTGCCTTCGACTGCTTGGGCAGATTACACCGACTGCATTTTTGCTACAGTTGTAAACTGCAGTAGCGTAGAATACACAACTGTACTGTATTGTATTCGAGCTTACACTGTTCGGTCAGACAACCTCAACTCCACCAGCGAAACTTGGCGAAGATATCTCCCCGTTCTCCCCGTGGTTTTGGCAAAGGGAAGCCACGCGCAAACCGAAGCGCAAAACCACTTTCCACGACTGGTTTCGTGTGCAAAAGGGGGGAGCGGCGGAGGGAAGCCGTTGGGCAAGTAGCCTTGGGGTTGGTTGGGCTTGCTTGTCTGATCTGATTTGCCCAGAAGCGCTGAGAGGCTACTGTAGCAGGTGAGCGCAGCGTTTGGTTCAGCGGAACCTGCGTCCACCACCCGCGCAACTCCACTTTCCGCTCCGCCCCTACCCACACACCTCAGTCAGTCGCCGAAACCACACATCCCTTGCAACGCAACGCAACGCAATGCTCAATGCTGCGTTCTCTTTTCCCGCAATGCAATGTCGCTTTGTCGCTCTCAACCAGCTCCACAATGAGCCGCACTTTCATGTCGTAGTTGCACTCAGAGTCTTCAAGCAGCAATTCTAATCGCTGGCGAGTTGACAACGATTACGAGCGACTGTCCTTGCTGGCTATTGTTTCTTGCTGCGACTTTTTCTGGGCACGACGTTGAAGAACAAAACTCTCGCTCGGTGACGTCGTTTCGCGGGCGATTGTTCTCCTTCCTGCAAGTTCTTCCTCCAGCGCCATGACGAGTGTGCTTGATCCTACTCGCGAGCGACGATAGTCGACGCGTCTCGTTACGATTCTTCTTGCCGGGCGAACTTTTTTAACGGCGGCTCCAGTTCTACACTCGTCTGGCAAATTTTCTTTGTCTAATAGTGCATAATTCGGTGGACGATATGTATCGATGGTCGAAGGTCTTCTCGCCGGCGATGTTGCGCGACAATTCCTCGATTCTCTTAATTTTTCTCGCTAGGAACGATAGTCGACGCTGGCTACGATACTTCTCACTGGCGCTACTTCTCGCTGGCGACGATACTTCTCGCTGGCGACGATACTACTCGCTGGCGACGATACTTATCGCTGGCGACGATACTTCTCGCTGGCGACAATTCGTCTCTCTTGCGTCGGCTATCTAGCGACTTGTGGGCGACAACAATCGCTGGCGGCGGTTCGTCTGTCTCGTGACGAGTCGTTTCGTCGCAGACGGCTCTTCTCGCTGGCGACGAGGTCTTGCGAGGCAGCGATTACGATCGCCAACGTGCAGTGATGCCAACGCCGTCCAGGTTAGTCCGCGCATCTCCCTTGAGTTGTCCATCGGTTCACTCGTCGTTTCGCGAATCGTTTCGCGCGTCGTTTCGCGCGTCGTTTCGCACGTCGTTTCGCGCAGATTAGCGTATTCATAGTCGCCGTCGCCGATTTCCGTCTTCTCACCTTCCGACTTGGTCGCGTGTTCTCCGTGGCATGGCAGACGCGTTCCACGATGCGCCGTCGTCGCGAGCGGGCGTGCAGTGCAGCTCGCGAGCGAGCGAGCCGTTCATGGCGGCGATTCCAATCGGCGACGCGTTCAGTGCTGCTCGCAAGCGAGCGAGCAAGCAAGCCGCGCGCGCTGCTGCGGGGGCTGCGCGACGGCGTGAGCGCATGCGCGCAACGAATGGTGCGTGGCGCTCGCTTCTGGCGGACGTGGATTCACCGCGTAGCGCCGTGCTGCATGCCCCACCTCGCACCGTCGCTCCCGTCACGACGTGTTCGTCAGGTGAGCATTCCACCTCTCCGCTGATTGATCTGATTGGCTTCCGCCGTCCCAACCAGCAGCAATCCATTGCCTGATGCCGCTTCTGGAAATCACCCACCTCACTGATGTCCGTTTGAACGCCGTTTTGGTGGCATCGGTGGGACCTTGCTCTCTCTTCCCTCACCTGCTGCCTTTCCCTCTCGCTTCTCGCTTCCGCTCTCTCACCATTCCCTTTCCTTGCTCATTCTCACTCGCCCCTTTGTGTTCCCCTTCTCCACCCCCACGCCTCCTATCCCTCCCTTACAGGTCACTGGCGCAGCTGCACGCAGCACGCAGCAGGCAGCACGCAGCATTCAGCAGGCAACACGCAGCAGGCAGCAGGGAGCGGGCAGCAGTGAAGCGTTGACTATCTCCGCCTTCAAGCTAAGTGCCTTGTACTCGCTGTTCAAGGTTTGCACGGTTTGCACTGTTTGCGTGTCGCATCTCCATCCAAATCGGGCCATTCGTGAGGGCACAATTCGCCAGTCACAGACCGTTCCTTGCTCAGGTTCAGGTTCAGGTTCAGGTTCAGGTTCAGGTTCAGGTTCAGGTTCAGCCCACCTACAGTCATACAGCCCGTCAGGTCCCCTTGGGGGTCTGTGGCTTGTGATTGCGCCTCCACCAATGGCCCCTCCTTCCCGTCCCTTGTTGTTATTTGTGGTCTGCTGTTACATCCACTGTTTTTGTGGCCTATTGGCATCGCACTCTACGCACTCCCTTCCCCCATCATCCCATATCAGCGAATCTCGTTCCCACTCCTTCTCATCTCATCCTGCCCTGCCCTGCCCGCCCTGCCTTCCCTGCCCTGCCAGGTCTGCACAAGCCAAGGGGAGAGCAGCGGGCGAGCAGCAAGCAACGGGGAGGGCCAAGGCGGGCAGCGGGGCAGCAGCGCCGGCCTCATCAACGGTTGAGGTTGCAGTATCGCCCCTGCCACCACACTCCACTCGAGCCCGCTCCCCCTCAGGTTCAGGTT